ACAGATCTCCAAATGCATGCGGCGGGACTTACGCAACTTCAATACAGCTCGTATTGAAGAAGCGATCGAGCGGAACCAAGGCTCCAAAGTCTTTGCCAGAGATCTGTCTGCCAGAAAGCGCCAACTGTCAAAGCTGAAGACAGAATGTGGCAGCATCGTTTCCGGGGCACCTGAGATTTTGAGTGAGATTGAGAGGTTCTATGGGCAGCTGTACACGTCATCGTTGGAGCCGCACGCAAGTGTGACTAACGATCCAAGAGCGAGTCTTATCCGACATTATTCCGATGATATCCCGGACGTCAGTCTGAGCGAGATTAGAATGGCTCTCCAGCACCTTAAAAACGGCAAGACCCCAGGCGAGGATGGTATTACAGCGGAGCTTCTGAAAGCGGGTGGAAAACCGGTACTTGAAGTCCTTCAGAAGCTCTTTAATTCCGTCCTCCATGGTGGCATTACACCGGAGGCGTGGAGCAGAAGTGCGGTGGTCTTGTTCTTCAAGAAAGGCGACAACGCTCTCTTGAAGAACTACAGACCGATTTCCCTTCTGAGCCGCGTCTACGTGCTGTTTTCGAGAGTCATTACGAATCGTCTCGCGCGCAGACTTGACGACTTCCAGCCTCCCGAACAAGCCGGTTTCCGAAAAGGCTTTAGCACCATAGACCACATACATACCCTTCGGCAAATTGTACAGAAGTCCGAGGAGTACAATTTGCCACTATGTCTGGCGTATGTGGACTATGAGAAAGCCTTTGATTCCGTCGAAATTTGGGCGGTGCTGCAGTCCCTTCAGCGATGCCAAGTTGACTGTCGGTATATCGAAGTGTTGAAGTGCTTGTACAGTAGGGCTACGATGGCTATCCGAGTACAGAACCAGAGTACGAAACCTATCCGATTGCAGAGAGGTGTAAGACAGGGTGACGTCATATCCCCGAAACTCTTTACCGCTGCATTGGAAGATGTTTTCAAGCTTCTGGACTGGAAAGGATACGGTATCAACATCAATGGCGAGTACATCACTCACCTTCGATTTGCCGACGATATAGTCCTTATGGCAGAATCGCTGGAGGACCTAAGCACTATGCTCAATGACCTCAATAGTGTTTCCCAACGGATAGGTCTTAAGATGAACATGGACAAAACAAAGATCATGTTTAATGTCCATGTCACACCTATGCCGGTAGTTGTTGGGAACACTAAGCTCGAAGTTGTTGACGAGTATGTTTACCTGGGACAAATAGTCCGACTAGGTAAGTCCAACTTCGACCGAGAGGTCAATCGACGGATTCAACTCGGTTGGGCAGCGTTCGCGAAATTACGGCACATCTTCTCGTCAGGTATACCTCAAAACTTGAAAACGAGACTGTACACCCAGTGCGTGTTGCCAGTGATGACATACGGAACTGAGACGTGGTCCTTCACTGCTGGCCGGATGAGGAAGCTCAAGGTCGCTCAGCGAGCTATGGAGAGGGCTATGCTCGGAGTTTCTCTGCGTGATAAACTCAGAAATGAGGATATCCGCAGTAGAACTAGAGTGACCGACATAGCCCAACGGATTAGTAAGCTGAAGTGGCAATGCAATATAGCTCGAAGAACCGACAACCGATGGGGAAGAAAGGTTCTCGAGTGGCAGCCTCGTACCGGCAGGCGAAGTGTAGGGCGTCCCCCCACTAGATGGAGTGACGACCTGGTAAGATATGCAGGAAGTCGATGGATGCAGGTGGCTCAGGACCGTGCTTTGTGGCATTCTTTGGGGGAGGCCTATGTTCAGCAGTGGACTTGTGAAGGGCTGTAATGATGATGATGATGATGTATTATACCACACATATTATTTAATTGCGAATTAAGAATTACGAGATACTAAAATATTATTTCATGTTTCATTCATTTATTCATAACATACATAAAAGTCCACTATTAAACATAGGCCTCACTCACTGACTGGGACTTATAAGGGGAAACTTCGTATAGTGTCCACGCTTCGCAGGCAGATAGCCAACCGCAGGTTTTTTATTATTATTGAGATTATATCAGGAAGATGCTGCTGTTAATATTCTGTTTAAATTGCACTCTGTTGCCTCTTACGACACTCATGGAATGATATGGGATAGTGAGAATAGTACGGGGCAGTACATTCTCTTACCACACCAGTACAAGGCAAATCTTTATTCCATCTTGTTACATATTATTATTATACGTATTTTATTGCTCATGTATAAAATGACCTAGAATGTTGAATCATGAGAACTTTTTAATCCATTACGGTAATTACTTTATTTAAACAATGCAATGAAAATTCACATCGGATTAGTTCATTTAGCACAATTACTTTGTCTCAACTTTTTAAACTAGAGCTGTGTATTCTTCGTTCTACATTACACAATACGTTGCCGCGCTGTTATTTAATTAAACTACTTTGCACGTGCAATAAAATTATTTTGTTTATTACTTAAATTTTAACAGTTTTATGTTAAATAATGTAATTAAATATTACAAAACAACATTAATAGCAAGGGAAGGCAGTCTTATATATAAATTAGAATCAAAATCATTCAAGTACCGTAGTAAATAATTCCAAGCACAATCATTTTCAGCTTATTCGAAGTGACTAAAGTGATACTATATTCTTTAAAAAATAGTCATAAGAATTATTGTTTAAATTTAAAATTTATTAATTCTACAGATATTATATTTTATTAATTATCATTATAAATAATTTTAAGATTAATGCGATGTGATACTTTCATATACATATTATTCGTGTCCGTATGCGTGGGTGTCGTAAAAGGTGACTTAATGAAATGAAACGGGAAATAGGCAACAGCATCTTCTGGATAACAAGTCGAAATAATAATAAAAAAATCTTTTGCATAGTAAAATTATAGTAACTTATAAATACGTGGGGTAGATTGAAAGTTTTGTATAACTTATTTTTGAAAATATAAAAACCATTGGTCTGAGGGCATGTTTTTCACGTGCTGGTTGCCTGCAGGCTATCACGGCCTTTTCTGGCTCCGTAAATGTCAAACCTCTTACAATTTTTTAAATTTTTGGAATAGTAAAGAAATCGCATGGTGCCAAATCTAAACTATTTGCGGAATGGATCACAAGCTTCACCATATCAAATACTGAAAAGAACTGCCTTGTTCACATTGTGCGCCGAAACATTGTTATGGTGCAATAGGATGCGACTTCTTGGTCGTTTTCCCTGACTTTTTAAAAGACACTGTGAAAACAAATGGTCAAATGTATTTTGGTTATCTGCCTGCCTCGATTTTGTTGTTTTGCTGTGGTCTTTGAACACACATATAGAAGACTGTTGCTTTATTTCCGGAATGTAACTATATCATTGTTTCATGTCCTATCACAATATCATTTACAGCATTTGAACGTCCGTAAAAATAGCCCGAGCCCGTGTTTGTTCTGGGGTGACTTCATGAGGAATCCAGCAGCAACATAATTTTCTAAGTTTTAGATGTTGATGAATTTTTTTTTATTTGTCTCATACCAATACTAAATTGTCCTCGAATCTCTTCATTGGTGACGCGACGGTTTTCTTCAATTAGTTACCTAATATTACCTACATTTTACTCAGTGAACTCAGTTTAGGAACAGCCTTCACGAATTTCATAATGGGGGGAAAACACGGCCTCGATAAAATTCTGCTAACATATTTATGTGAGTAGACATACAGCTAAAGATGTCAAAATTTAATTTGCTCAGATCCGCACAATAAAATCAAATGATGTGTCTTACCTATTAAATAAAACTACTTTCACGGATCCTATCGCGTTTAATTAACTTATTTTCTATTAGTTCCCGACGTTTCGGGTACTTTACAGCACCCATAGTCACGAGGGACTGAGGTTATTGAGGTCCCGATGTCAGAGTTCCCGGAATACCTTCAGCTTTTTTAATTATTAATTTAGTTCCAATCTACGCAAAATGAACTTATTGCGTTTTGAAGTCTTGCAGTGGTATGCTTGGGTTTAGTTTTAATTTTATTAATTACACGATCCCAAGCAGTTGGTAGTACCCAGCCTCCCTCTCTATTGAAATTAGTATCATCCATAGCAGGAATCGATGTTCTTTCACGAGAATTTGTGGTTTATCAAATCTAATGTAATGGCGGGGGCCGTCTAGAATATGATCACAAACTGCAGACTTCCCGGAACGTTGTTGTTTCACGTCAGCTATGTGTTCTTTTACACGGGTTTTGATAGATCACTTTGTTTGCCCTATATATGAGAGACCACATTCACAATCATCTCAGTCCCCCGTGTTACCATGGGTGCTATAAAGTACCCGAAACGTCGGGAATTGATAAAAAATAAGTTAATTAAACGCGATAGAATCCGTAAAAGTAGTTTTATTCAATGTGTAGTATTCGCATAAATATAAGAAATCATTGTGTCTTACCTAGTTTGAAGTGCACATCCCGCCCTAGTGCACGCAATTGAGTTACATAATCATTTTTTGACATCTACGGGTATTATAATGGATTTTCGCAAAGTAACGCCTGATTCTATTAATTATAGCCATAAAGGCCTAATGACCTCTGAGAGATGGTTAAATGTGTCTGTAACGTCATCGTGGCATTTCCTACTAGTCGACACTTGTTTCGAGACCCACGGGATGAAATGCGGTGAGGAATTCTTTTAAACCGCTACCACACCACAAATTAAATTTAAGTTGAACGCCTTAATAAATTATATTGAATACGTTCACTTTGGAATGAAATTGAAGGTCCTTTACCTTATTTTCTCGTGTTACTATCAACGTAAATGGAGAGATGCTGCCGTCACTTCCTTGACACATCTAGTAAGTCAACGGATACACGTTGACAACGAGAGCATATTATGGGTTCATACGAGATTTTCGCGGTCGCACCCAGAGGCCCTTCCAATAAACTTCAAGGCCTTCACTATTGGTATAAAACGAGATCAGCCGCCCGCAGCAACACACTTTGTGACTTTCACGCGAGCAGTGCACATTTAGACAAAATGTATAGGCTCATGGTATTTGCGTTTGTGATTGGGGCAGTGGTGTGTCAACAAGAAGGTGGACGAAGGGTTCCCAAATATGCTGGAGACCCAAAAACGGCTGCCATTATACAAGAAGCGCGTTATTTAAGTGGCAATGGAGCCTTTGGAGCCGCATATCAACAAGAAGATGGCATTGATTTTAAAGAGGAGACAGACGCCGAGGGCAACAGACGTGGCAGTTATTCATACATTGACCCCTCTGGAGAAAGGAAAACAGTGAGCTACGTTGCTGGCAAAAACGGCTTTATGGCCACTGGCGATCACATCCCCACTGCACCACTACCAGTGGCACCCACTCCAGGCTATGAGCCCGACCCTCGTTACAATTCTCCAAACTACAAAGCACCTCAGTACAGTGCTTCACAGCAGTACACAGCTCCCGCGGCGCCTAGGAACTACGGAGGCAAACCTAATGTAGATGATGGCCAATACTATCCTGAGCTGTATGAGCAAGAAAACAACGTCGCTCCCCAACCTCAGTACCAACCTCAGCCTAAATACCAGGCACCACAGCAGCAATACCAGATATCGCAGCCTCAATATCAAGCTCCTCAGCAGCAGCAGCAGCCACAATCTCATTTTCAAGCAAACACCATCTACCCAGGTGTTCAGCAAGCTCAATATAGCGGATTGTCGTCACAGCAATACTCCGCACCACACCAAGCTCAAAATATTCAGCAGTACTATGAACCTACTACACCGCCACCTACGCGCTTTTTCCCTCCTGGCAAGTTCAGCCTAAACCGAGCGCCTGATGGTTATACATACTCTTTCCACCAAGCTTAAATAAGTAATTTATGAAGAGGGTGTCTCGGCGATACGTGAAGTTTGTAATAGTAAAAAGCGTATATCAATTACTGAATCGCCGAATCATCAGGGGTCGATTGTGCGGGCTGGGCCACGACTGCTACATAAGCATTTCTAAGTGTTGTTTTGCTGTGATATTGTGAGTTAATGGACAGTTATACACATGTTGTTCGTTTTCGTTAATTGTAAAAAAAATGCCTTGCCGATAGAAATGCATGTCATCTGGTAAATGACAAAAAATAGTAAATAAATTTAGAGTAAATGTCTACAATTAATCGTAATAATTTCAATTCCCGTACAAATTAATCAATATTTGTTCTTAACACAAGTTCCTCGAAAGGTGTGATTATATGACACATAAAAATCATACTATTTAAAAAAAGAGTAAAAAGTAACATGTAAGTATACTTCCTTATTATCAAGGTCTCAGCAACCGGGTGTGGGCTGTGTCCGCATTCTGCAATTGCTCGAAGCGAAGGCAAGTAGATCACCTTAAAGCATTACAAACGTATTATTATGGTACTGAACCGGCCTCGCTCGCCACGCCTCACTTTCATTTTTAACTGTGTTTCTATTTGCTCTGTTATGTATTTGATATCTTTTGTACAAAAATTTTCTTTTTTATTTGGTAAGTACAACTCATACCAAGTTCAGTCAAATTTTAAAAACAATTTAAAAAATAGTAAATAAAATTAAATTAGGCGGTGAAGGAAAATATCGTGAAGAAACTTGCATATCTGAGAAGTCAAAATTTTTTCGAAGACTATAAAGTTTTTTAGAGCAAGGAACTGTCCACCGAGCTGCCAATTTTGTAGATCTACAAAATTGGCAGCTCGGTGGACTGTTCCTTGCTCTAAAATCCTCTCATAAGTTAGAGGTGACCTGTTCCCAGGAGTCGGACGTTTATAAGCTTTTTTTTATATTAGTCTAAGCCAGCGCTTAACTATAATCCCACCTGATGTGTAGATCTACAAAATTGGCAGCTCGGTGGACAGTTCCTTGCTCTAAAATCCTCTCATAAGTTAGAGGTGACCTGTTCCCAGGAGTCGGACGTTTATGAGCTTTTTTTATATTAGTCTAAGCCAGCACTTAACTATAATCCCACCTGATGTGGTGATGTAGCCTAAGATGGTGAGGCACACTGACTTAACAAAAACCTATTCACTCTTGCCTTGAAGACACCCACATTATACTCGAATGGAAACACAGATGCTGGAAACTTATTCCGCCCCTTTGCTGTACGCATGATGAACAATGTAGCAAACCGTTTGGTTCGAATGCCTGGTAAGTTAACTACGAAGGAGTGGAGAATGGCCGAAAGTCTAGTTGTCCGATGGTGGAAGGGAAAGGGAGGAATTAATGCAATATGTAATTCCTGCGCACACTCTCCGAAATGTATCCTGTATAATACTGAAAGGCTGGCTACTTTGCGCCTGTGTTCGAGGCTGGTAAGATTGGTTTAACCGAATTCGGGTCACCAATAAGCCTCTAAGTACGTCTTTCCATTGAGTACAAAGCTGCTAGGTAGCATTTTGCAGCACCAGCCCATATATGACAACAATATTCCATGCACGACCGGACTTGCGCTTTATATAAAGTAAGCAGGTGTCCCAGCGTGAAGTATGTAGCTGTAACTTAATTTTTCATTACTAAACAATTAAATGAGATTAATAAGTGGCATGTAACGATTTCGACAACCCTTTTAAGTCTCTGACTAGTAGGCCTCCAGCAGCTAACATTCGTTATTTGGAAAATTTGCCTCTGCACTTTGCGCACGCATGCTGGCGCAAGCAAAGGTAAGATGCTATTCTCGCATTGATAATGCTTTCCAGTCTTAAAGGATTTCCGCCATTAGATAATCCCTTAGATCAATTCAAGTAATCATTTATCAATTCGAATGATTTAGACCGAATTACTAAAAATACTTGTTTCACTAATCTGTATTTTTATTTATTAACTATAACCGTTAGTTACACTTACAACTTATCAAAAATTCACGGTTAAACATAGGCTTCTCCATTGATTGCCTCATAGGTGGATTTGTAGCCACGGTTTTTTTTGTTATTAAAAAGGCAATGCTGCTTGTCTTCTGGTTTGGTTCACTCTGTCGCCTCTTACGACACCCACGGGATAATATGGGGTAGTGGATATTCTTATACCGCCACTACACGGATGATTGTTTTTCATATGAACTATAAAAACAGTACGTTACGTTATGTATAGTTCTTAAAATTAATAAATAAAAACATTTTAATCAAAACGTAATCCTTAACGAACAAAAAGGCATCAGTTCTCCCTAGCTATTGACGGATTTTATTTTTATTTAATTTATTTTTTTATCTGTTTAATTGTTATCTATTTATTAAGACTTGAGTTAACTGTGATAAATTTAATTGTGTTAAAGTATTATTCGTGTCAAAAAATTTGACTCGAATAATTTTTTAACAATTTATTTAATTAATCACACTACACGCAATTCATTTTTACAGATTCGTTTATTAATGTGTATGAAATTATATGCGGTGCAATGATTCACGCAAAATTGTTTTTGTTGAAAGTTATTTCTCCATAACATGTTGTTCACAGAAATTTGGGTTGATTTGTAAAATTGCCGCATCGACAATCATATTGGCAAACAGTTAACAAGCAGTAAAAACAATAGCAATTTGAAACGCTCGACGTACATAGTTATTTCAAAATGATTTACCATAAAGACAGCTACTATAAATGTTACTGTTCGTAACCATATATGTAATGTTGAGTAAAAATGTTATAAATTAAAAACAGAACGACTGCTTAGTAACCGATTAGTTATTGTTCCGAAATAACAATTTTCTGATATAATAAATTTCATTAATAAGAGAGAGACCCTACGCCTACCACTAAGAAGTCGTTCTGTGATTGGGATTTTGTTCCTAATGATTGGGTGTGAATTAAGGAGTGACGAACTCCCTTATACCACCATCACATGGTTTAAAAAAGCGGAACGCTTCACGATTTTACTTTTTATTCTTGCACGGAAGTTAATGTTTTTTTTTCTGGGAGTGTATGCCCTGCGGCCTTTACAGCTTCATCGAAATTGGCTCGTAAAAGAAGACTTATGAGCTATTGAGTGCAACGATTCTGCTGGCGGCGAGGCGGTGAGAAGCGCCGCTTCGCCAAATACAGTCCCGAGGCACCCCGGCCCCTGCTTTCGGAGTGAGACTCCTCTAGCTAGGGGGGGGGGGGGGGGGGGGCTCGATGTGGTTCAACCTCGGCTTTAACTACAATTGCAATGTGGATCTTACACTGTAGAGCCAAGCTGATTGTAGCGCAGATCAATCGCCTTAAACCGGAAGGACCAAGCTCTCACATAATACAAACGTGAATTAACAGAGTAATATTGTTGTCTTTCGTATGCTGATTTTAGAAAACCGGTGAAACTTTTTACTGAAATTTTTCCATGTTAGCGCTCAGGGGTGACAACATACGCAGATGATTTTAATACTTAATCGAAGATAAATGTAGATGTTTATGAGTTACAGTAACCACCTTCCACCCTTATTCTATACAAAATAATACTAATCTTCCAAACAAAGATATATTAATGTTACAACCTATATACGTCCCACTGCTCGGCACACGCCTCCTCTCATTTCTGAGAGGGTTTTGGGACAAGGAAATATCCGCCACGCTGCACCAATGCGTGTTGGCGAACTTCACGTCTTCGAAATATTTTTTTCTTATTTCGCAGACATGCATGTATCCTCACGATGTTTACCTTCACCATCGAGCACGCGGCGATTCAGCATTTAAAATTGTAATCAACAATTACATTGGTGCCGGCGGGGATTTAACCCGAGTTGCTTGCGTTTTGAGAAATTAACAGCGAGCGCCCCTGGATACCACGGCTTTTATCTTTCTTGCATCTTTTCAAATTAGTAAACATATGTATTGCCGTAGGCATTTAGCTCAGGAGCTAAACATTCGCCGTAAAAGTAAAATTTCCCGATACAACAAATTTCATATTTGCCAAGAGCCGCATACTCTTACAGTGTTTCTATATCTAATATCGGCGTAAAATTGACAAGAACCGGGGAGTTAGAAGTAAGAACGCATCTGTTTCTTGATTCTTAATTGGGCATAACTGGGTAGAGGACTGTGTATTTATTTATTTCTCTTATTTTTTTTAAATCATAAACAATTCAAAAACAATTTATTTAAAATGTGTGTATGTTAACCACTGTATCTGTTTCTAATATTATTAGTAAATTAAATATTGGATACAGAAAAAAATAACTAAAATGACTATAAAGAAGGCGAAGAAGTGCCGTAATATGTACTAATGTAAAGCATTATGATGGCGTTCACCGAAATAATAGATGAAATCTTTCAATCATACCACAAAAAATCGTAATACAGAAGCATTAAAATAATTTTAGGTCCACTAATATTATTAAGTGCAAAATACGTTTCAAAGCTTAGCTTATTGAACTACTATCTTTCACACTGACTTATGTGCCATCAATAATTGCGGAAAACTGATATAGATCTTTAAGTCCAGTAGCGGACTAACGATATACCCGGGCTGGTACTTATAACAGTTATGACGTTGAACCCTAGAATTTGACTAGAATTCGAGGAAGAATTCGAAATTTTTTATATTATAAAGCTATTATAGATATTTCCAATCGTATAATAAAATGCCAAAAATAACTAGTATCGTCATAACAATAGAATAAAAGAGGATAATTTATTATACAGTATACAAAATTATAATTTTTAAAACAAAATAAGAAAGAGTAAATTAGTTTCATTCAATTTTATTAACAACACAAAGTGGTAATATTGTATTGTTTCGAAATAGAAAAATATGCGTAATTAAGTCGCAGTTAACAAAGCGTGCGTATTATAATGAGTTTTCCTAAAATATTGTTATTATATTTTTGCGTCACATTCTTTTACAATAATTATGATTTTTGGAAGTACTATTTTTGGCT